CACTACAGTTAAATTATAACATTAGTATGTTAGTCAGCACATCAAAATAAGTGTACTTTAAATCTCAACAAAAGATTATTAAAACAATTATTTTAAATATACTTCAAATTAAAACTTGTAATTTGACATTACTGCAAAGTGAAGCAAACTTTTTAAGAGTACTTAAATAAAAGTGTTGTCTCGTTTGAAGTGCATTTAAGTGGCCTTTTAATTAATATTATTTTATCCGCAAATACAGTTTTAATATACTTTTAAGACTTAAGTACACTGAATACAATAATTGCACTGCTTTTTTTTCACAAGGGATATAAGTCTGCTACCATCGCTGCGTCATTGTACTGCAACAGTAAATAAATATAAATGTTATTAAATCAGATATTTTTGACAACGTACTTTGTCCTCTTTGATGAGCCGTTTGCACTGGAGGAAATACCAGTATGTCGTATTTTTCCGACCCTTTTTGGACTTGAACTTTTCCACCAGCTGCGCATCATCTTCATCCGCATCTCTGTATTTCAGATCCAGCTGCTCTGGGGATGTTTTGCGGAAGGTTCGTCTGGAGGAAAACTTTCTGGAATAATCACCAAACACATAACGTGTATCGTCCTCGTGCACATGCTCAGATGCGTTTGTCTCGGTATTGTTGCTATCAGTCCACCTTGAAGGTGGTAAAGTAGCTGATTCACTAAAGTATCTCAAGGGTCCTTGATGCAGCTCTGAAGGACAGACAGCTGATCTGTGCGCATTTGAGGATGCGGCAGCACAGTTTATAGCATTAACACTGAAGTTCCGTATGAAAATACCTCTCAGAAGTGCAGAACGCAACATTTTTGCAATCAATCTTGAGTTAAAAACTAATTAGTCCATTCATATCACCCTTTCAAAACATAAACTGCGGTAGAAACAGTTGCTAGAATTCCTCACATGCTGTTTCTACTGGAAGTCGCCATGATGCTATAACGGAAGACATTACTAATAGATAATGTTATGATCGAGCTATTTATTTACTCTGTTCCATATAATAATATATTAGTTTTTATAATAAGACTAATTTTGATCTAATCGTACAACTTAATTAAAAATTCTCAATTTTATCTAACGAAAAAAAAAAAAAAAAAAATGAAGATGAGCGGGATCGATTAGTAGGTCTTATCGTGTGTTCGTCTTGAAACTGCAGCACTAAATGTCACCGCTATCATAGAACTGCCATCTAGTGACTAATATTGAAATTATGTATTGGAATAACAAACTTCACTTGACAATGACAAGCGATTTTAGATACACACGTTAATACATACAGTGCCGCCCCCATGGTAAATATGAGCAAAGGCGGCTGTGAAAATAAATCTACATCATTTATCTTTTTGATCTTTCATTCAAAAAATTCACTAACATTATGAAATAAATGTTTTTCTCCAATGCATGTTGGATACCATTATTGGCACCCCTAGAAATTCTTAAGAGTAAAATATCTCTGAAGTATATTCCTATTCATATTTTTTAAAAATTTAGCACACCAGGGTGATTAAGAACATGAAATTGTCCAGCCATGACTTCCTGTTCCACAGTATTATAAGGATGTGTGTCTATATCGTCCTAATGCTGACTCTACAAGGATCACAGCTAGAGAATTGCAGATTAGTTGAATCTTGGGGTCAGAAAGCCTAAAAAAATATCAAACAGCCCCTACATCACCCCATGTTGTTCAGGAAGGTTTCAAGAAAAATTCTCCTCGACTCATCCAAAAACAAACTCCTGCATATTCAGTTGTCCGACTCGACTGACTGCGTCTGTTAGAAATCTTCTAATGGACCGTGGTTGGATCTTCCATCAGGACAATGATCCAAAACAAACATCAATAACAACACAAAAACAAAACCATGGCTAACGTGAACTAGAGAAAAACATTTATTTCATAAAGTGAGTTTCCCCCACTTTCCATTGTTTTACGTCAATGAAAGGTTAGAATTTTGTACATTTTTTGAATGAAAGATCAAAAGGATAAACAATGCAGATTTATTTTCACAGCCACCTTTGCTCATATTTACCAAGGGTGCCAATATTAGTGGTACATCACTGTACATGCTTTGCAAGAAAAATCCCACTCTTCCAAAATGAAACTGTTTCTATAAGCGTTATCGTGTTATTGTGAGGCTGGCTTGCACAGTTTAATACAATTATTAAAATAAAACAGCCTATATCGGCAAATTTGAAGATTAAACAAATAAGTTCACTATGTTGCTGCAAAATTCTTTGATAATGGAACAAAACAGTCCATATAGTGACCAAGATTATTCTGGTAAACAAATTTGTATTCCCACAATGTTCCTGTATCAATATTAGACCCTTTTTATTACCTTGAGTGAGATATTTGTGAAAAGATGGATTAATTGCCATAAAAGGCAAATTTGAAGATTAAACAAATAAGTTCACTATGTTAATGCACTTTGATAATGGAACAAAACAGTCCATATAGTGACCAAGATTATTCTGGTAAACAAATTTGTATTCCCACAATGTTCCTGTATCAATATTAGACCCTTTTTATTACCTTGAGTGAGATATTTGTGAAAAGATGGATTAATTGCCATAAAAATAAAACTCATCACGATCAAGGCACATTTAGATCTTTGTTCTGTATTTTCATTCTTTATAATCTCATAAATTCCCTAAATTTAATTCCTCAAATATAAAATTCATCCACAAAATTACTCGATCTTTCTCTTCACATGCAAAGTATTTAAAAAGAATTGCTGTCTGATTTTCTTTTAAGCTTTTAAAACATATACTCCTCACACAAATAATATACAAGAATAAGAAAAATAATTACAAGAATTTAATCTAATTTTGGACGCTTAATACATTTGCAGTTGAATGAAATATACTGCAGTTTAAATTTATATTAAATGCAATTATTTGAATGTAAGAATGCTTTTCTGACCCACTTAAGTATGTATTTATCATTTCTGATATATAAATTAATATAAACAATAAATTAAAGGCCTATAATTTATCAATTTAAATATATGTTAAACAATTTCTACTGATATGTATATGTATTTAAACATATTTGTAATGATGAAGCTAAAATGTTATCATTTATTTAAAATATATTAACTTAAAATGAAATATAAAATAACCCTACAGTTAAAATTATAACCAATTAAAATGTGCTTTATGTTATTCAACATCAAATTAGGTGTAGTCCTTTAAAAAACCATAATGATTAAAATGTACTTCCAAGTAAAAATAAATAAATAAATAAATCTGTTTAAGTACACTTTTTTATATAAGTAATATAATCTGCATGTACAATTTCTTAAAAATATACATTTTGAATTTTAAGTACACAGACACGTATAAATGGAGACACTTTGCTGCAGTGTGTGAAATGATTATTCATGACATTTAAATTCACTTCTAGTTAACTTCTCTGGCTTTCCCCACTGCTGCTTATGTAAGTACATTTCAAAACAAGACTAATGTAACAGTGAGATACTGAGCTGTGTGTATGTGTGTATCGTGTCAGTAGATTTTTCTCTCTTTATCTTCTATGACAGACTGCAATGCAGGATTGCTAACTGTGTGTAGCCCCCTAAGACTGCTGAGTGCACCCACCCACATACTGCAGAGAAGATGAGGACGAAGGGTTTTGTTTCCTCAGCATCTCCTGAGAGATCTCACACACAATGTTTCCGTGGAGATGACACTTTATGTATGTGGTTCTTTCGTGTTGAGCATGTAGGAATAAAAGACACAATACCACTTGCTCTCACAGACAATTATGTTTCTAAAAGTATCTTCCAATGCATCCAAAATTGCTTTTATGTCTGTGTGCACGTGTTTGCCTTCCTACATTTTTTATCTCATTTTTAGATTCTGCTTCTTTTGGACATTAGTGTTGATTTTATTTTCATTTTTTTTAACTCAGATGATAACTCTATATGACCTAAATGAGGGTAGCCTAATAGATCATTTAAGGGTTCAGCTTTGCATTTCTTCCAAAATCTCCTGAGGTCTTTCTGCCCCGGAGCAAGAAATCAGAATGTGAAAACAGAACTTCAAACGACAAAAGAAGAGAAATGTTACTTTTTGAAGGAAAGAAAACCGTTTAACACCATTCCTTGAAATGCAAATGCACCATATCAAGTTGGTAGGTCTATAGGACTACTGTATATATATATATATATATATAATTTAAATAAAAATCAAATGAATGAAAATTTTCCAATGTAATATATTATAATATTTATACAATTATTATATACCTCAGTATAAATTAGATCTTTATACATTATACATTTTATGGAGGTCCCAACGATGATCATATGTGGGGTCTGCAGCATCTATAGAAAACCTCTTAAAGAAACCTTTTCCACTAAGAACCTTTTGCACAATGGAAAGTTTTCATGAATATTGATAGGTTCTTCATGGAACCATAGATTCAAAAAAAAAAAAAAAAAAATTCCTGGGCTATGGGGAAATGTTCAATAATGTTTT